CAACCTTCCAAGATGGCCAACAATGGTCCTTGCCTCCTGGAATTCATACCCTGTTAGTCCCATCCTACATTGTACCAGAATTGGTCTTCTGTATGACTAATAGCATACAGAAAGGGATGGTAGGTCACTTCTGAGATTTCTTTAAAAGACCATTATTTCTGTTTTGGGCTCTTGGCCCATTCTTTCTCTCTCTTTCCAGAGGAAGTAAGCTGAAGCCTCTGGTCAACAGCCAGGAAGGAACTGAGGCCTGCCCACTACTTTTTAAGTGAACCTAGAATCAGATTCTCCAGCTCCAGTTGAACCTTGACATGAGTGAAGCTCTGGTCAATAGCTTGACTGCTATCTACAAGGTTGTAAAAGAAACTTGAGGCAGAACCACCCAGTTAAACTGCTCCTGGATTCTCAACCCTCAAAAACTATGTGAGTTAATTAATGTTTGCAGTTTTGAGCTGCTAAGTTTTGGGGTGATTTGTTACAAAGAATATATAACAAATACAAATATCTTCTATATTCAGATTCTATTCTTTCATTCCTTTCTGCCACTTCCTTAGTTTAGGGCTTCACCATTGGGTGCCAATTGCAATAGGCCACCAAATAGTTTACCTGTTCCTGGTCTCTGTCTTCCAATCTACTCATCGTATTGTCTCGAGTGACATTTTTAATACACAGTCATGTCACATACCTCCCTATCCTATACACACATTTTTCAATAATGATGACTCATTGTTTTCCCTTTTCTTATCCATGCTTCTTTGACCTGCTTGTTCTCAAATCACTTAGCACAAGGCATTCTCTAATTGTTAGTCCCTGTTCCAAATAGTTACACACAGCTCATTCAAAAACCCACAGACATATTTTTTTGAATGATTTTTAAAAAAAATTTTAAATGTTTTAATATTTACTTTTGAGGAAAAGAGGCAGAGCATGAACAGGGAGGGGCAGAGAGAGAGAGAGATAGAGAAAGAGAGAGAGAGAGAGAGAGAGACAGAGTCCAAAGCAGCTCGAGGCTCTGAGCTGTCAGCACAGAACCTGATGCGGAGCTCGAACTCACGAACCACAAGATCACGACCTGAGCTGAAGTCAGACGCTTAACTGACTGAGCCACCCAGGCACCCCCAGATATATTTTTTAAATTAATTTTTTAAATTTACATCCAACTTAGCATATAGTGATTTCAGGAGGAGATTCCTTAATGCCCCTTACCCATTTAGCCCATCCTCCCTCCCACAACCACTCCAGCAACCCTCAATTTGTTCTCGATATTTGTGAGTCTCTTCTATTTTGTCCCCCTCCCTGTTTTTATATTATTTTTGCTTCCCTTCCCTATGTTCATCTGTTCTGTGTCTTAAAGTCCTCATGTGAGTGAAGTCATATGATATTTGTCTTTCTCCAATTTCACTTAGCATAATACCCTCTAGTTCCATCCATGTAGTTGCAAATGGCAAAATTTCATTCTTTTTGATTGCTGAGTAATACTCCATTGTATATATATACCACATCTTCTTTATCCATTCATCCATCGATGGACATTTGGGCTCTTTCCATACTTTGGCTATTGTTGATAGTGCTGCTATAAACATCGGGGTGCATGTGACCCTTCAAAACAGCACACTTGTATCCCTTGGATAAATACCAAGTAGTGCAATTGCTGGGTTGTAGGGTAGTTCTATTTTTAGTTTTTTGAGGAACCTCCATACTGTTTTCCAGAGTGGCTGCATCAGTTTTCATTCTCACCAGCAGGTGCAAAAGAGATCCCCTTCTCTGCATCCTTGCCAACATCTGTTGTTGCCTGAGCTGTTAATGTCAGCCATTCTGACAGGTGTGAGGTGGTATCTCATTGTGGAAAAACCCACAGATACCTTTCATTTCCTACCGTCTATGGTTGGATGGAAACACAGTAAAACTTCCCAACCCAGGAAAAAACCTGAGAGTGGCCCTATAATCTGGGCTTCATTAATAATAAATGCAAATTTCTGTTGCAGTTCTTGCCTTGGGTTTAGTCTCATTTTCAACTTCATTTCGCCAGCTATTCATTAAAAGGTTTAGCAGTGATGTAATATTTCTCTGTTGTATAAAGAGTATATATGAATGCCTTGGATAGCTACAAAAACTAGTACTTCACTGTGTGAATGCCGTGCCAGACACTATTCAATATTCATTAAGAACTTTATATGTATTATTTGGTGTAATCCTCATAATAACCAGGAGACAGGTAATACATATTATAATTCTCATGTTATCGATAACTGAAAGACTGAGAAGCTAAATGAAATGTTGTAGGTCATACACAGAGAGTGGTGGAGCCGGGACTTGAACCCACACAGCCTGGACCTGAGCACATACTCCTCACCATGAGGTGACCCTGCCTTTCATACAACCATGCCATACCATCTGTCATTTCATACTATGTTGAACCCAACTCTCCACTATATCAGTAGGCCCTTGGGCTTGAATCTTAGGGATAACACTAGCTAAGAGGTATTGTTAAAAGTGGACATACATTTTTAAGACTCTTGGTGTGGAATATAGTCTGGTTTCCACCCAGTCAAGATTCCTGTTCTGGCTCTGCCACAGACCATGTGTGACCTTAAGATATTAAACTTCTCTTTGCCATAGTTACCCCATTTTAAAAAAGGGACGATGCTCTGTTGTATCAGTTCTAAAATACACTTTGAAAAGCATTTTGATATCTCTAGAATGAGATGGAATGTCCTACTTTATCAGCATTTTTTTCTTCCTCAGAGGTATATCAAATGATATCTTACAATGAAGAGCATCTTAGAAATTTGATGAAACATCATTAATCTACATCATAAAGTAACTATAAAGAATAGATAAATAAGCATACGAGATTCAGGACTTGGCATATACCATATTTAAAACTTGTTTTTCTCTTTGAAAAAAAAAAAAACAAGCATCTGAAAATTACCTTGTGTTCACGACACCTATGTGTGGTTGGAAAGACGAGACCCCACCTAGAGCAAGAATGGCAAGAGGTACATAAATAAGGAATCCAGGGTAAGCTGCAGTGATCAGTATGTCCCAGAGCACAAAAAGTGATGTGTCACCTCTGAGGGACAAAATGTACCAGCCCAGAATATCCCAGTAAGGATGTACATTTTGCCCATAGGCTTGGTTTTGTTTACAAAATAGTAAGTCACAGTATCTTATTCTTCTAAGATTTAGTTTTAAATGTGTTGCCACAGTAGCCCATGGCTCAAAAGCCAGGGAGGATTTGATCTAACATTAAATTCAAACTTAATGCAGTAGACCCTGAGAAGTGTGCTGCTGAGTGAGACTGTGCATGGTCACTACCTAACCAAGCAGTAGAGTTGGAGACAATGACGACAGAGCCTGATAGATGCCAGACACAGCAAAAACAATAACGCCTGAGTGCTTCAGTCGGTTGAGTGTCCTACTTTGGCTCAGGTCATGATCTCACCATTCATGATTTAGAGCCTGCATCAGGCTCCCTGCTGTCAGTGCAGAGCCCACTTCAGATCCTCTGATTCCCTCTCTCTGCCCCTCCCCAACTCATGCTAAGATAAACATTAAAAAATAAATAAATAAAAAGTATACCTGACATGAATTTCAAGTACTTGCCCTTTGCCAATGAGCAGACTCATTACAGAAGAAACAAAAACAAAATCTTAGATAAGTGACAGACTGGATAGTCCGGTTTAAAATCATCAAGGGTTGGGGCGCCTGGGTGGCTCAGTCGGTTAAGCGTCCGACTTTGGCTCAGGTCATGATCTTGAGGTCCGTGGGTTTGAGCCCCACGTCGGGCTCTGGGCTGACAGCTCAGAGCCTGGAGCCTGTTTCAGATTCTGTTGTCTCCCTCTTTCTCTGACCCTCCCCTGTTCATGCTCTCTCTCTCTCTCTGTCTCAAAAGTAAATAAACATTAAAAAACATTTTTTTTTTAAATAAATAAAATCATCAAGGGTTGACTGGCAGTATATTTTGTTACTAGGAAGCGCTCACAAGGGTTTGCTGGAAAAGAGATTAAACAGCCAGGGATATAGTACGTAGAAAGGAAAAAGTAAAGAAGGTGTGTAGGGAAAGCTAGACTGAAATAAAATCTTTGGGTCCTCCTCAAATCTTCCTTCACTGAAGAAATGTGCTTGAAAGTATGACCTAGAAATAACAGGGGCCCCTGGGCTAACTGTAAAAGGGACATTGGCCTTCACTTCCAGTAATTCAGGGACCTGTTGGGGAGACACTTTCTTCTCAATGGGGAAAGGGTAAGTATGTGGTGCCCAGGGGAGAGCCCTTTGGTTCTTTGAGATTTTGAGCTGTGACAAGTTCTCTGTATAGCAAGAAGTGGAGACCTGAGTTCATCTTTGGGGAGGGCCTTTTCTTGGTTCTGTGAAAAGCACTCTCATGGGCCCTTTAGTGGTCAAGGAAGTTTCCACATAACCCAATGTTTGGGGGGAAAACTGTGACATCACAGTTAATCTGAAAGCAGATAGTCTAGAGTTAGACTGAGCAGCAAAGTGAGCTGGTGTGTTAATAGTTGTGTAAAGTTGAGTCATGTTGTAATTTGGTATTGAAGTAAGTGTACCCGCCTAAATGCAGTAGCTCAGAACTGTCCTAGATTCCAAATGAATATTTATTAAAATGAAAGTACATTATAGGGGTTTAAAATTAGAAAATTTTAAAATAGGATTAAGAATCAGAAATCAAGATAATGGGAGCTCCTAAAGGCAAGTGGAATGAATCACTTATAATTTTCCTCTTGATTCCGCTTCATCCATATAAGCAGAAATTTCTCCACAAAAATGTTGTGAAATATTGAATGATTTAGGGTTCATGACCCCATTTAGGGTTTTTGCCCCTTCACAAAAATTAAACATTTTAGGATCACAGAATGTACTTAAATACTTGTCGATTGAGGTGAGATTTCATTTGTTAGAAAAGTGTTTAGTTCAAGTTCATTTAAAAAGCCCTTGAGAAATGAATGCAGTATTCAAGGTACACACTCTGATTTGATAGAAAGGCCTTAGCTACAGGATTCCAAGTTTCCATCCTTTAAATCAGTGGAAGAAAGGAAATCCAGGCTCTCCAGACTAGCTTTGGCTTCATCAATAAACTCTCTGGAAGCTCTCTGCAGGGGAGGCCGGGGTGGGCCCATTGGAATCCCAGAAACCAGAGTCATGATGGCTTTCGTCTGCGACACTCCAAAACCTAGATAAGAAAAACAAATGAGGAAATGTGACTGGGACTGTCCACTTTGCCACAAACATCTCAAAGCGAGATCACATTCTTACAGTGACTTCTATGACAGGATAAGGTGGGAATAAAAGAGGGGAACATTTCCGGTCACTATGGCAGACTTAGCAGACACAGGAAATTCCTCTTCCTGTCTCAAACACATAGAAAAGATGGAATATTTTAAACAACTTGGCAAACAGTAAAACAAAACAAAGGAAGACTCAAAGTCAACCTCAGAAACAAGGAGGGACCAAAGGTATCGGGAAGAGGGAAGTCAGTGTGGTGAGGAGTTGCTGAAGCCAACTGGTCCAGGAGGACAATCTGATTCAGGGATATACTGCCATGGATCGAATGATAGGACTTCATCGCTAAGACAGAATTTAGTTCAAGTAAATCTAAGAAGTCCCTGAGAAACGCACTATTTAAGATGCTGCTGTTTTAGAGCTGGTGTTATAAAGCTGGTCAGGAATCCAAGAAGAAGCCTTGGGTCTGTGCATAGAGGGGGTTGAATTAAACTCCCTGTGTGAAACTGGGAGCCAGCCTGCCGGCCTCGGCATAAGAGAGGCAAGGAAGCTTCATTTCCACGACGGTTGTGGATGGAAGAAGATCATATGAAAGAAACCCCAAGTTTCTGCCATATATGAACACTGAGTCCACATTTGCATTAGGTACTTGGTGTAAGAACTGGATTAAGAAATTAACCTAAAAACTGGTTAGAACTGGTAAAAGCTCCAACAGAGGCAAATGTAAAACCACTTGTTACGACACCTTATAAACTAGAGCACAATGGATTCTCCAGAAAACAAGTCTCTGAAGACAAATTCAGAATTAAAATTTACAAAATACATGAGAAAAAGAAGTCACACAAGAGCTAGCAAATGCTTAACTGACAAATCTTACATCGTGAGAATTGATGATACAGAAATATCTGGGGGAAAAAAACAAAAAGAAATACTAGAAATGAAAAATTTACATTCAGTGAAATGAAATAGTAGAAAACAGAGCTAAACATAGAATTAGGGATTTTGAAGGCGGATCTAAGGAAACAATACAGCACAGCCAGATATTTGTTTTAATCAGCTACCGTTTTTGGATCTAGGGTATGAAACATAACTTTCTTTTGCTAAGTTAACTAACTGAACATTGGGAAGGAAAATACTAACATGACCAAAGATACAGTATAGTTTGATGAATGCAAAATGGCCCTCCCAGGCTTATTACAAATGGTGGAATAGGGAGCTACCCTCATAGTAAGACTACAAGTTTATTTATTTATTTATTTTAAGCATTTATTTTTTGAGAGTGCAAGTGGGGGAGGAGCAGAGAGAGGGGGACAGAATCTGAAGCAGGCTCTGCACATATAGCAGCAGCAAGCCCGATGTGGGGCTTGAACTCAGAAACCACGAGATCATGACCTGAGCTGAAGCGGATGCTCAACCAACTGAATCACCCAGATGCCCTGTAGACTACAAATTTATTAAGATAGTCTCTCCTTGACTAAATCACGAAAGCTCCAACCTGCCAAGGAAGTCTGAAACGATTTCTTTAAAGATGTGTTCTCTTAAATCATAAAAATTATCTTCAAGAGTCCACATTCAAAACGCAAATATTCTGGGGGCACCTGGGTGGCTCAGTCCATCAAGTGTTTGACTCGATTTCAGTTCAGGTCAGGATCTCACAGTTTGTGAGTTCAAGTCCCACAACGGGCTCTCTGCTAACGGCGTGGAGCCTGCTTGGGATTCTCTCTTTCCCCTTCTCTCTCTCTCTCTCTCTCTCTTATGAAATAAATAAACTTAAAAAAAATGCAAATATTCTGGCAAGAGTATCAGCTAGTATGTTAGAGCTCTATGTGGCAGAAATGTTGCAGTGTCACTGCTAGACAATCTTATATGTACACAAGCACACTTTTAGCTCTAGTTTTAATAGTTTAATATTTATTTAAATGTACCTTAGGAACATACACACCTACCACACCAAACCCACAATTTTGTGAAAAGTATGGCTTAGGTAGGACAAGGGAATAATACTGTACTTGTGGCACATAAATAGGACAACAATCATGGAAGTGGAAGAGCGAATGGGAAACAGCATCTTCGAAGGATGAAGACAGCTAGTGGAGGACCTTGCAGGAATGAGGTGCTCCATATGATAGGTGTTTGGAGCTCTGGAGGAGTCGCCAGAAGACAAAAGGCTCTGAAAGGGAGGTGGGAGGTCTGCCAAGAACAAACCTAAAACTTTTCCTGGACTCGACCCAAGTTCTCAGAAAGGGCCAACCTCCTCAAGAGGTGGACTAAATGGTGGCATTTGTCACAGGATAAGATTTAGGAGATTGTGAGGAGGTTTCTCTATGCAAATTCACTGTATTTCCCTCAAATTCTACTCTGTCCTATTATCCAAACCTCCATCATCTGAGCTTACTTATGTTAATAAACTCTCTTTACATTGCAAATACTCTTGGGAGAGCTGTCAGTCATTCACAATTTAGTAAGGTCTGTGTGCAGACTGCCTTCCCCCACCAAGCCCTCGGGCTGAAATCTGTGTGGTAGAATTTTAATGAGCAACGGCAGGATGGTGGGAGAAAAGGATAAAAAAAAATGGTGTGCAGAGGCGGGGGAGGCAAACAAAGTGATAAAATGGAGGATTGAGATTTGTGGAAGGGTGCCAAAGACCCTCCAAGTAGGTTTACTTCACCATTTTATAGGGTTGGCCTTAAAGCTAGTATTGGAAATAAAACTCTGCTTGCAACGGAACAGGAAGAAGTGTCCTTGTTGGGGGAGCCTGGGTGGCTCAGCTGACTGAGTGTCCGACTTCAGCATAGGTCACGATCCAACATTTGGTGGGTTCGAGCCCTACACTGGGTTTTGCACCAACAGCACAGAGCCTGCTTCAGATTCTCTCTCCCTTTCTCTCTGCCCCTCAAAAATAAACATCAAAAAAAATGTTTTTAAAGGTGTCCTTGTTGAACCCTCACAGTGATGGTGTTCCATTTCCTTTACACTCATAGCAGGCAAAGCAGAAAACTTACCAAGTTTGAGCACAAAGTTGATAAATCTCTGAATGCAAAACTGGAAAGAAAAAAGAAAAACACAAATCTATAGTCAGTATTACTAAGCTGTGATAACAATTTAGAAATTTTGGAAGTCAAAGGACAGAAACCCCAAACTAAAAAGCCCACACACCCTAGTTGTCTCAAGGCCTGTCAGAGTGGAAAAAAACAGCCAAGTGAGGTTGGGGTTGAGATCCACCCAGGAGAAGGTAGGATCTTTTCACATACATAAGCTTTATTAAAAGGGCTCTTGCAGAAAAGAAGTGCCAAAGATAGAGTTGTAGGCTAGAGCTAAGATGGGGGCAGGCACCCTTTATTCATCTAGCTTGCATAGCTAAACTATCAGCTATTGTGGCTGTTCTCAAACTGGGGTACACTAACCTCTGGGGCACTTTCTTTCCAAGATACCCAAGGGACATTTAGCCAAGGCTAAGATTTATGGGGATAAATAATTTCTAGATCCTCAACATCCATAAATGCTATTTTCTAAAACTGATGAGGTGGAGAATTCGCATGTAATACAGCTACAGGTTGTCCTTTTGTATTTCCTTTTCATAGTCCTTTTTCTCCCACTTTTGAAAAAAATAAAGACATACCTCCCATATCACTGCCTTGGGACACCTCTGGGAACCAAATAAAGGAGCAGATCAAAATACTGGTATTGGCACTGACAAAGTGACAAAACGACTCCTCTAATTAATGGGTAACGAGTCCTCTAAAAAACCATAGGGCTTTCAACTTCTTGCTTTCAACATTATTTTCAATGTTGCTACCCAGGCTGTTAGTGAAAATCACTAAAGCATTCTGTGATTTTTAACATGACTCAAAAACTGTTCAAAGAATTGAGTGACTTCGCTGTAACAAAATTTCTTCCATTCCTACAGGGTTTCGCAGCACTCATTTCTCTAAAAACAAAAACCAGAAATAATATCGATGCTGAAATTAAACTCATGCTAGCATTAAGTAATATTCATCCAAGAATTTGTGAACTAATTCATAAGAAAAAGACTCCATCCGTCTCATGAAGAGATGCCTTTTCAGTAACATTTTACTCTTATGTTGTTTTCATCAACTGTATATGGTCTAGTAACAGAAAATTCTGTGCAGAATGAAATTTTAACACCCAGAACCTCACAAACACGTATGTATTTATGTTCTTTTCTCCCTCTCACACAAACTGTAGCACATCACATTCATGACTCTATACCCTGCTGCTTTTTTACATTTAATATATCATGGAATATTTCCAGGCCTGTACATAGAAAACTATTTCACCCTTTTAAGGGCTGCATAGAATTCCATTGTGTAACTCAAACTCAATGCATTTAACCATTTCCTTATGGATGGATATTTGGGTTGTTTCCATCTTTTGGTATTATAAACAAGGTTATACGGAACATCTCTGTACGTGTGTCATTTCACTTATGTAAATATAACAGATGGCATTTAAGTCCATTAGAATGAATAAATTCTGCCCTTTTTGCTTCTTCACTTGATTATATATTCCCTTAGAGCAGAGACCAGTATTAATGAAGTTATGCACTTGGCTCAGACCTTGGCATATAAATAAATGAGTAAATGAGACCCACTCACACTAGCCTTCTATAAGAATAAAACAGAGAATGTGGTAAACTAAATTCCTTACCAATACTATTTTGAGTGGGACTAATGGGGGAAAAGAAAGAGATGGAAACCGGACCAGTCAATGAAAGAAACCACTAAATGGAAGGGCTCCTATCACAGCTGTTTTACTGTCTACTCCATCATATGGTTTCCCTGTCATTCAGCTTAGAACAGATTGGAATTTTCAGAAATAACTTTCACTGGGAAACTAAGGAAAAAGAAAATAACCATTGGTGCAAAAAAAAAAAAAAAAAAAAAAAAAAAAAAAAGGCAAAGTCTGCACAATTCAGACAGACTTCTTATCTTAATTTAAACCAAAGTCTTGTCAATGTTTGGTTTAGTTGGCAAAGCTTCCTAAGTCCCTACCCTGTTCTTGTTCTCAGCTTCACGTGATCTGAGGCTGAACAAAGGCAACTATTAAATCAGCTATTTAAACTTGAAATAGGAAGTAGATTTAGGATCGCTCAATGTTCAGGTCTAAAAGGTGGGGAATTAATCATTCCTGGCAACTGCTACCTCACATTCTCTCTGACTTGGAGCTCAGGTCACCCCCTCTCCCTCTAACCTCCAGGATGTTCTGCACTTCTGCTCTATAATCTCTAATTTCCCTAAAGGCAGCCTGTCTTGTTAAAAAAGATTCCTTATCTGAATCTTATTGGGACTGAGCACCTGCTCTGATCTTGCCTATGCCTTTCATTCAGCTTATTTTCTTGGGATACTCTACTCCGTCACTTTATTATACTCCACTCAGTCACTTTGATTATTTACTATTTCGGAGGCCAAGTCCTTCTCTTGTGCCTACGCTCTTTCTTTCCATCCCATTCCACTTGTGTCGAGTACACATATTACCCAGCTGCGAGATTGGTTCTGCCCTTCAGGAGTCTCTTCATTCTCTGGACAGCTGGCCTGTCCTCCATGTAGCTTTAACAGTGGCCACTATCCCCCCCGGGTTCCTCCCTGTAAAGCATCATCTCCTGCTACTTTTCTCTTCTTAGTTCAAAGCCAGTGTCTCCTTTTAGATCACTCACTAGGCTCTTGTTTCTGCCTGGTGGATGCTTCCACCAGTTCTCAGCACACTGCAAGTGAAGGTGACTGACTGGCTCTGACTTCAGCTCAAGTCTTCCCATTTTGGGGTTACCAGCTTCACAGCTTCTTCATAAACTCTGGAGACTTGGGTGTCAGGTCCTCAAGGGGACAGCATTTGGTCACATTTTTCCCAGAAATCTATCACTGTTATTTCATACTCACAAAAATACTTTGAACATAGAGTAAAAGATCGTTTGTAGGAGGAACAGAGAGAGATCATTCCCGTACAGGGACGGTCCTGATTAGCTTGCAGGGAACACAGACAATGGGGACAGGTTTGGTTTTAAACAAGAACAGGTAAGAAGCAGAAGGAAAATGAAGAGAGAGGCAGCTGGGCAATTTTAACAAGGGCAGGTAAGGTAGGAGTGCTGATGAGAAAGAATAAGAATTATCCAGTGGAAAGAAAAGTGGCTGTGATTTATATGAAGGGAAAATCAAGTTAACCTGATGGTTCAGGGCTGAAGAGAAGTCCTTTCGTTCAAAAGCCTCCAACATCTGGTTTGTCTTTTTTCCCAGGTAGTTATAGGTACTAGAAAGAAAACAGTATACACTGCAAGATCAATAACTCAGCAGGAGAGGTTCTTCCAATCCCTTTGATGCTTAAAAGGGAAAAATATACCAGGCCTTCCAGAAGTGTATTTTTTGGCCCTAATCTATTAGAGATCAGGTGTCTTCAGTTCTGAGTTTTGTAGCGACACTAAGCAGTGCCAAGAGGAGGCACAGAACACCAAAGGGGATAAAGAAAAGGAAGAAAAATGGAAAATGATAAAGTTAGAAGAAAAGGGAAAAAAGTGAGAGATGGAGTTAGTGTATTTGGTAGGGAGTAAATGAGGCCAACACCTGCCTCAGGGCACATGTGCAGGCACAATGCTAGCCAAGAGCCGTGGATAAAATATAGCATCTGAGCTGAGGCCTTGAAGTCTTATGCTGAAGAACTGGGTGAATGGGGCAAATCCCAGCAGATTGTCTAAATTCTCTGCCCAGTTTATACACTACCTGTAATAAATATGCTTAATTCATATATTATCTAGAAGCTAGTTTCTAATAATAATGTTAATAAAGATAATAATAAAACAAGAGATCATTTACTGTCTATTGTGTTCCAGGTGCATGTGTTCCAGGTTCCTCTCAAAGCCCTGCAGGGTAAGCCTGGCTTCTGTTTCACTGTGAAAAAACTCCGGCTTAAAGAAGGCTACAGAGTTGTGGCAAAGGCTTTCACCACCTCACACCACCATCTATTACAATTCAGCAAACATAAACGTGAGAATAAGTCCTTTGATCTGATAGAGTGTAGGCTGGAAAAAAAAGTCTCTAGCTACCAATAAAGACAAATATCTTAGACTAATCACTGAATTTTTAGAGAAATCGGCAAGGTAGATGTTTACAGAAATTCTTAACAAGGATGCTTCCCCAGTGTCGAGCAACTTCTCATAGAGTTAAGTCAGTATCAGAAAAATATATTTATCTTGGTATATGAAGAACAGAATGCTGTTGGTACTTCATATATGTAGACCCTGGAATGAGCAGCAAGGGATTCCAAGAATGTGAAGTTCCACATTACCTTCTGGTCATAAAGTAAGGAAAAATAAAACATAATAGCTGAGATAAGTCACTTACAGATGTGGAACACTTCTAGGTCACGATATGTATGTGAACGTCAGGGGAGTTTCAGAATACTAAAATTCAAATCCCAGGGGTCTTAGGCATATTTCGTTAGAGAGAATGTGATTATAGTGAAGAAGAAATAAAGTCTAACCAAATGTACTTTGCCTCCAGATTATGTTGACAGAATTAAAAATGCCAAATGGGGGCCCAAAAAAACAAAAGTCAAAAAAGTAAGAATTTACAGCGGAAAAAAGTAAGAATTTCACAGCCAGCACATCCAGGCATTCAGGTCTCCTTGGCAGAAATGTCCCTGTAGTGACAATGGATATTTCTGGCCATCCTGACTTGGTGAATAAGCCATTAAATTATCCAACTTAATTATTCTTTCCTTTTAAATAAATTTTTAAGTTATTTATTTATTTATTTATTTGAGAGAGAGACAGACAGACAGACAGACAGACATCGCGAGTGGGGTAGGGGCAGAGAGAGAGGGAGACAGAGAATCCTAAGCAGGATCTGCACTGTCAGCACAGAGCCTGTCATGGGGCTCAAACTCATGAAACCATGAGATCATGACCTGAGCTGAAATCGAGAGTCGGATGCTTAAACGACTAAGCCACCCAGGAGCTCCCAACTTAATTATTCTTCATCAAAGCCACACTCACCAAGACATGTTATCAATATTACTTTGCTTCTCCCTACACTTTTCCTATAGGGAGGAAATGTACTTTCAGTGAATACAAATTATTTCAATCAATCCCTTGTAGGCACTTTTCTAATAAATTAGGTTACCATGTGCAGTGGACATGCTGATCGAATTTCCTGCCTTCCCTAGCCTGTCTAAGTAGGCATCAGGCCACATAATTCTACTTTCTTGGCTGCAGGTGACTGGACTTCAGGCAAACTGAACAGGAGGTGCGATCTGGTGACACCCTGAGGTGCCATGCTTGGGCAGCCACGATTGGCCATGTGCACACGCTGACGCACAGCAAGCCCACGTGCAGAGCCAGAGGGGAAATAGAGGGGTGCGCAGAGAGACACAGGGGCGAGAGTCTCCAGAGGGCCACAGACAGGAGAGTGCTCTGCTGTGGCTGCTGAGAGATTTGCAGTTCTGGGTTCTCATCTTCTCTGAGGCCTGGCTGCACTTCCTCCTCTTGAGTTTTATGTAATTTTCCAGTAGTTTATACCTTATCTTTGTCTGCATTAGCTCCTTTGAATGGGTTTCTGTTACTAGTAACTAAATAATTTCTGACGGGTTCTGTGCATGCTCTTGGCTCTGGTGCCTCACCTCTGATTGCAGCAGAGGCTTATAGGGACAATGATTGGGTTGCTAACAAACTGCTATGCCCTACTTAATTCCTTTGTACTGAAAGACTGGGGGAAAGAAAGGCAATTTGTATTAAAAACGGTGTCTGTGCAAGAAGTATAACCAATTAGGTGGTGACTACCTCTCCCTGGGGGACTTGACATTTATAACTGTTGGGAAAAATGCGTCATGCTTACCTGCCCACCGCTCCCGTCGCTCCCATCACCAGAGCACTCAGTAGTTGCTAGTCAAAAACAGACACAGAGTATTCGCTTTTATGAACAAGAGAAAGCAAGAGGCTGCTGCTCTATAGCTTTATAAATGGTTCCAGAGGGCAACTAACCTGACAAGTGAGCGACTTACCTCATCCACCCCAAAAAGGAAAGCAAACTGCCGCTCGCGATTCTGATCAACACATTGCCCGAAGTCTAAGAGATCTGTGTCACTGAACTTCAGCCCTTGGAAGGTGGGGATCTTCTCCTGAATCCCGTCCAGCAATTCCTCAGCACGAACTGCTCAAAACAGTCAATGCCTCACTAATCTGCACACTCCAGAAGATGCCAAACCGCGTCTTGTAGGTCCCCCTGCATCTGCACAGAGTGCCAGACCTGTTCTCAGCTGGACGTCACGCACCCTCACCTAGTAGTTCCTGTACACTTGTCAAATTATAGCCCCAAACCTTCTGTTCTTTGAAGACAACACGTGCATGTTTCCAAGGCGCAACTTCTACTTTTTTCTTTTAAGGAAGTAGAAAGGAATGAAATCTAAAAAATAAGCCCCTAAGAAATGTCATCTAATTGTAACAATCTCCTTGTTGGAGAAGCATAGTAACGATAAAAGAAAAGCCAGGAGAGAAGTGAGGAGGGCTCAGGGTACCTCAGTACCTACTGCACTGAGAATATGGTAGAGGACATGGTAGACACAGTCTTTCTCCTTGAGGGTCTTACAGGCTTGTGTCTTCTCATATAAGAAGCAGGGGTGTGTGCGATAGACACAACATATCTGCTAGAAGTGCCTACGTGTCAGCTCGTCTTTCACACTTAAAAACTTCCATTATAAGGAAGTGTCAACGATGGATAACACTGACTTATTGTGGATCAACTGGAACTGTCTGGTCAACAATATTATGCTTTGATGATGTGGGGTGGAGTGGGATGGAGTGGGAGTTTTCTTAGTGAAACAGGGTAAGATATGGGATGGAGGGACAGAAACATTGAAAGAGGCCACACTTACTCTTTACCCCCGTCAAGGCAGGAATGTGATAGTAATAAAATGGCAATGCTGGGGCCGCAGCAGCCACCTCCTTTAGGAAATTAATCAAGACATCTGAAAGAAGAGCAGGAAAAGCCGTGGTGTGAACAAGCATATAAAACGCTGGCTTTCCCTGCTAAAAAAAACACACACACACACAAAAAAGAACCATTTAATGAAATGCAACCATCCCTCTCAGCAGCTGAAAATTCTTGATCACTTTTACCATCCCTGAGATTGTTACGGCAATGTCATTGCAGCTTGTTCCATTCAAAGTTTTATTTTCCTTTCTGGAGAAAGGCCAAAATAAGATGATCACTTTCGTACCATACTAAAATACTATTAAAAAACTGGTGCAAACCCTCCCAGGTATTAAGAGAAGATCATGAAATACTCTCATAAAAGCCAGAAGCCCATCAAGAAGACTTTTATGCTCTTTCCCCACAAGGGTTAAACGTGGTCAGGGAACAACAAGGAATCTGCATTAGGATCAGAATCATCAAGTTTTAACTGAGAAAATTCTACAACAAAGAGGTAAACAACATTTGCTTAAAGAGGGAAGTTATAAGAATAGAGGCATATCTCACAATAATTCAACCAGAGGCTGGTTCTTTCCCTGTTTGGGGAGAAATCCAGATATGGCAGAAGAGAACTCACTCTACTTTACTGAGAAGTTGCAATTTCCTACATCATCCACTGTGAGCTTCAACTGCAACATTACTACAGATGATAAATAAATCTAGCAGACTTGCTTGCACTTTGGCTAGTGGGAAAGAGATTTAAAAAAATTTTTTTTTTTTTAACATTTATTTATTTTTGAGAGAGAGAGAGAGAGATAGAGCACAAGCAGGGGAGGGGCAGAGAGAGGGAGAGAATCTGAAGCAGGCTCCAGGCTCTGAGCTGTCAGCACAGAGCCCAAGTGGGGGCTCCAACTCACCAACTGTGAGATCATGACCTGAGCCTAAGTCGGATGCTTAACCAACTGAGCCACCCAGGCTTCCCTAGCTATGCATTTATTTAATCATGCATGCAATCATGGATTGTCTGTTTTCAATCTTTTCAAAATTTGCATTTCTTTGTTAATCAGGAGGATTAAAAAGACTCAGTACACTTGGAAACCACAAGTAGTTTCCATAGAGAAAGCAGAGAAGGAGAAAGCAATTAACTTGTTATTTTGGGAGACAATGGATGTTTCTGTGAAATCTCCCTCAAATTCATTACTCATTCAATCTTGAATAGAACGTGTATTCTCAAGATGCCCATCACTTATATTCCTCTGTTTTGAGAAAACCGGTCCCATGTTTTGCCATGTTACTCTGACACTGCAAAACCGGCTGGACTAGGAGTGAACACCTGACTCAAACAGGCACCTATAGGCTGACACGGGGCTTGGTGGATGATGACCCAATCAGATTGTTTGGCAAAGGAGTTGAAGCCCTTCTCAAAGGAGTATTTTCTCACATGGATCCAGGAGGCCAAATATCCTGGCCAAGTATACTGCTGTATACTACTGCAACTGCACACTGTCAGTCCATAAAACTTTACTTTCACGAGTTCAGTGTAACCATTTTGAATGAAGGCAAAAAGAAGCGGCCCGTGTGAGGCGCCATGTGTTTGGACTGTCTACTTACCTTTGTTCCATGGCTTGAGAAAGAAAGGCGCAATGACAGCGATGCCATCGGCTCCTATTTCTGCTGCATGTCGGGCCTTTAAAAGAAGAAATAAGACCATTGTGGGTCTAGCCACAATCCTGATATGTGGGTGTGGGGGTTTCCCCACATCAGCAAGCAATTCTCTGATACCAGCTGTGTGTCCCACAATTCTACTCAACTCTGATGCTATCTACCTGGAGACAGAATCAGATTCCACAGGTTAAGGGCTCAGTCCTATAAGACTACTCCACCTCCTCCAACTTTAGATGCCAGTCAGAAGCCCAGGTTGTCACCTGTGTTTCTGGCTCACTGGCTACAGGCTGGGGGTTCCAATGATTCCCTTCTTGGGTTGATTAATTTGCTAGAGCAGCTCACAGAACTCAGAGAAACTATTTATTTACTAGATCACCGGTTTATTGTTAAGAGGATATTACTCAGGAACAGCCAGGTGGAAGAGATGCATAGCATCAGGGAGGGAGACAGGGCTTATGGTTTCCACATCTTCTCCCAGCACCGGGGCACCACTCTCCCCAGATTGCCACATGTTCATCAACATGGAAGCTCTCTGAAACCTGCCTTTTTGGGTTTTAATAGAGGCTTCCCCGTAGAGGCACCATTGATTAAATCACTGACCTCTGGTGACTGATTCAACCTCCAGTTCCCCCTCCCTCTCCAGGGGTGGAGGTCAAGTAGGACTGAAAGTTCCAACCCTCTAATCATGTGGTTGGTTCTCCTGGCAACCAGCCCTCATCCTTAGTTGCATTTTTTTTAATTTTTTAAATGCTTACTTGTTTTTGAGAGAGAGAGAGAGGCAGAGAGAGAGGGAGACACAGAATCTGAAGCAGGCTCCAGGCTCTGAGCTGTCAGCACAGAGCCCGATGTGGGGTCGAACTCACAGAGCATGAGATCATGACCTGAACCAAAGTTGGATGCTTAACCCACAGAGCCACCCAGGCGCCCCTCAATTAGTTGCATTCTAAAAGCCACCTCATTCATGTAAACAGAGACACCTTTATTGCTCTCATCACAGAGAATTCCAAGAGTGTTAGGAACTCTGTGCCAGAAGCTGAGCAAAGACCAAATACATATTTATTATAAATTACAATATCACTTGGAATAAGTGACTTATTATATGCACCTTCAGTTAGATAATGAGAGTAGCAACAAACTACTGACAGTAGCACTTGAAGTGATGCAACTGATGCACCACTAGAGAACAGAAAATAAGCCAAATTTAATGATAAATGTCATTACCAGGAAAATCCCAAATTGCAAAGTAGAGACTGCTGTTGGAGGTGGCCTGTGCATTTAATCTGATTCTTCTTCAGACTCTGTCAGTACAAAAAAACCTTACTAAAGCAGACATGAGTGGTTCATTAAAGGGAAACTTGCAGGTGTAATTTCTCTTCTAGTGTTCAGCCCATTGGATCCATTGGATGACGCTATCTTTCCTGTCCAGTGCTTTAATAGTCATATTTTAAAATTTATTCTAAATTTATTTAAAAATTTTAATTTATGGATTGGGAATGAAGTTGAGGATGGTTGAGAAGAAAAAGATTATGCACATAAAGGAAGATACACTGTACCACTATTCTGAGGTTTTCTCAGATTTCTCCAGGAAAAACAACATTCCCTTCTGCTGGGCCCTCAAACATCCTTATCTATTTCAAGTAGAGTACCTAAAGTCTACTACATGGCAAGAGAGTTGTGTACAGTGACTGTTCTCAAATAGAATGAGTTCCCTGAGGGCACGGGTCAGATTTTACTCTTGTGTACAGTTAGTTAATCATGGTGCTGAGCACATAGCAGGGACTGGCGGATTGCTTCAGAACATGTCCCACTACCTAAAATGGAAACACGCTTCCCTTTGAGACTTTAATACCTATACCTAATAGATCTGATTAGCTTTCTGCAGAAGTAGGAGAGCCAAAAAGAAGACTGGGATATAGTCCAAAGACCAATTGTGACATTGGGTGTAATTTCATTAACATGGGGTTGGAATGTAATGTATTTGAATAATTTGTTTTAGCACTCTGTTTAGGGCAAGAAGTAGAAGGGTAACCTTAGCTGGAAATAAGGAAACAGCTAAAGACAGTTGATGGCGTGCCCATTCAAACCCCATCCAATGGAGTTATGGCTAAGCAGATACAAAATTATCATCTCATTGGTAAGATTATCCCCATAGTAGGGGATTATCCCTATAGCAGGGGATTATCCCTATAGCAGGGGATTATTTCTATACTAGGATTATACTCTTCTAGTGGTTAGCCCAATAGAGGACGGTTTTCATGTCATGACATGACAATACTTTAAAATTTATGTCACACATAGGGAAAGAAAGCAATTGAAAAGAGATGGAAAAAAAAAGGTTTCCTACATGATACTTCCTAAACTGAAAGACCTATCAAGAATAAGAAGGATAAATCAAGTCTCCAACTTCTGATTTTAGGCTTATTAAGCAACCATCTAGCAATATGTCTTCCTGTGTGGCTTGCCTAAGAGTGTTGAACTGCAATTTTGCAAATATGTATAATGCATTCTATTTCTAAATTCAGTAATAGGAAAAACAAAACGCATCAAGAAGATGTTGAGGCCAGGTCAAGTCATTGGACTCTTTGGAATTAGAATATATAAATTCTGAAAACATGGTTAATTTAGCAGTGGTCCAGGTACCAGGCCTTCTGGTAAACACTGCAACATTGTTGAGCTTTCTTTTTTTACCCAATTCACAAAGTCCTGGAACCACCAGGTCATGTACTTTTCTGCCAGCAACTTTGACTCCTTCTACTCCTACCCTTTGCTCCATCTAATCTGCTAATCTTCAAACCCAGAGCAATCCAATTGTTTGTGTTCTTGAACCTGTGTTCTGGTTGAAGACTGTACCTAGGAAGAAATTTCCATAACCTAGTTGAATGGTGGTATGAGAAATTTATGACTCAGCTTCAGTTGGTTTTCAGCACCACTGGGCAATCCTTTTTAAAAATTTGACTAATTAGGGGTACCTGGCTGGCTCAGTCAGAAGAGCATGTGACTCCTAATCTCAGGGTTTTGAGTTCAAGTCTGCCAAATGTGGGGCATATAAGTTACGTAAAAAAAATTTTTTTTTGTGACAAAATCACATAAAATTTACCACTTTAATAATTTTTAAGTGTACAGTTCAGCAGTTATGAAACATATCTCTACAACTTTTCTTTTAGTTTTATTAATTAAAAAAATTTTTTTTAATATTTTATTTATTTTTGAGACAGAGAGACAGAGTGTGAGCAGGGGAGGGGCAGAGAGAGAGGGAGACACAGAAATGGAAGTAGGCTCCAGGCTCTGAGCTGTCAGCACAGAACCTGACGCTGGGCTCAAACCCGTGAACCTTGAGATCATGACCTAAGCTGAAGTGGGACGCTCAAAGGACTAAGCCACCCAGGCGCCCCTCTACAACTTTTCATCTTCCAGATCTGAAACTCTATACCCATTAAACAATTCTTCTTTTTCTCTCCCTCTAGCCCCTGATATCCACCATTCTACTTTGTTTTTATGAATTTGACTACTTTAGATACCTCATTTAAGAGGAATCATATAGTATTTGTTTTCTAGTGACTGGCTTATTTAACATAATGTCCTCAAGGAGGTTCACCTACATTACAGCATGTGACAGGATAGATTTCCTTCCTTTTTAAGGTTGAATAATATTCCACTGTATTGTTAAAAAGAAAATCACAGGACCCAGATGGAGTCACTTATGTTAAGGCCCCACATCAGCAAACCAAGACTTAATACATAACCTGACTGCAGTTTCAATCTTCCCAGGAATGTAACCTTTAAACTGTCAACATGGAACTTCCTGGTCAGCATGAGGAAATTTATTGCCAGACCCCTTCCATTCCCCTTAGGAGGATGACCTTGCTTAAAACAATGTGTTCTTTGCTAATAATTTTCTTTTCTTCACTCCCTTTCCTTTTCCAGGCTCGAAAGAACTTCTTTTTTTTTTTAAACTGTACTTATTTTGAGAGAGTGAGAGCATGCATGCACATGGGAGAGTGGGGGAGGGGCAGAGAGAGAGAGAGGGAGAGAGGGAGAATCCCAAACAGGCTCCACAGTGTCAGCACAGAGCCTGACGTGGGGCTCGATCTCATGAACCATGACATGATTTGAGCCAAAATTAAGAGTCAGATGCTTAACCAACTGAGCCCCCCAGGCCCCCCAGAGCTCCCTTCTATTTGCTAGATTGGATGCTGCTGGATTCATGAATCACTCAAAGCCAACTGGATCTTTTAAATTACTCAGCTGCCTTTTCGTCCTTTAATAGTATGTCTATACCACATTTTATCTATTTATCCACTGATGGGCATTTGGGCTGCTTCTGCCTCTTTACATTATAGATAATGCTGATTCGAACATGGGTGGGACAGTCTTCCTGTGTTTCAGTTCTCTCGCCCATTCTCTGAGGCGGTAACTGCTCTTCACACTTGAACCCCATCTACCATCTCCTTCATGCCCAGCAGATGGCTTTGCTCTTTGCTTCCGAGGGAAAGCTGAGGTTCGCTCAAGTTCTCCTGACTCGCAAACTTAGCTCCATCTATACCCACCCTGACTTCTGCTACAGGAGTTATCACCTCGGGCTACTCTCATCATGGCTCTGTGCCTGCTTCTGGATGGTGAGCTCTCTGAGGTCCCTCATCTCATACTCCCCATGACAGCGTCCAATATACAGCAAAAACAGTATTGAGTTTAACCTCAGCATAAAAAAGGAGCCCCTTCCCTTATGTGGAATCTAAAAAACAAAAGAAATGAATAAACAAAAAAATAGAAAGAGAGATATACAATACATACGTAAATGAAGAGAACAAACTGGTAGTAGCCAGAGGAGAGGGTAGTGGGGGGATGGGCAAAATAGATGAAGAGGATTAAGGGGTACAAACTTCCAATTGTAAAACAAGTCACAGAGATGAAAAGCACAGCATAGGGAATATAGACAATAATATCGTAATAACCATGTATGATGACAGCTGGTGACCACACTTACCCTGGTGAACACGGACTAATGCATACAATTATCAGCTCACTATATGAATTTCACTGAAATTAATATAACATTGTACATGTCAACTGTACTCCAGTAATAAGAGAAAAAGGAGGACCCTAGAGTGGTCTCTCCCAGATGGACCTCCATACATACCAGTTCTTGTGACTCCTTCAAGCTCAGTGCTCCTACGTGAATTACTACCTGATCAAGCCTGCAAAAGAGAAAACAAGCTGCATCACTTGGGAGTTTAGAGTAACACAGAAGGGCTGCACTATCCTGCTTTGTGCTGTCTCACTAATCCTGGAAGTCGGCTAATGCCTCACTAATCTCAATCTCAAAACCATTAAATTCTATAGTGGTCTATTTAAAACTAATCTAATAAAGGATTAAAAAAAAAGAATGTCCAGGAAATAAAATTTAAGGTCCAACGAAGCAGAATTTTGAAACCAATAACCGATTAATCGATATTTTTTTAAAATATAATTTATTGTCAAATTGGTTACCATACAACACCCAGTGCTCATCCCAAGAAGTGCCCTCCTCCCTGCCCATCATCCTCTTTCCCCTCTCCCCCACCCCCATCTACCCTTAGTTTGTTCTCAGTCCTTAAGAGTCTATTATGGTTTGCCTCCCTCACTCTCTGTAACTTTTTTTCCCCCTTCCCCTCCCCCATGGTCTTCTGTTAAGTTTCTCAAGATCCACGTATGAGTGAAAATATATGGTTATCTTTCTCTCCCTGGCTTATTTCACTCAGCATAATGCCTTCCAGTTCCATTCACATTGCTGCAAATGGCCAGATTTCATTCTTTCTCATTGCCAAGTAGTATTCCATTGTATATATAAACCACGTCTTCTTTATCCATTTGTCAGTTGATGGACATTTAGGCTCTTTCCATAATTTGGCTATTGTTGAAAGTGTTGCTATAAACATTGGGGTACGTGTGCCCCTATGCATCAGCACTCCTGCATCCTTTGGGTAGATTCCTAGCAGCAGGGCTATTGCTGGGTCATAGGGTAGTTCTATTTTTAATTTTTTGAGGAACCTCCACACTGTTTTCCAGAGAGGCTACACCAGTTAAACTCCCACCAGCAGTGCAAGAGGGTTCCCATTTCTCCACATCATCGCCCGTGTCTATAGTCTCCTGATTTGTTCATTTTAGCCACTCTGACCAGCGCGATTGATACTTGACTACTATCTTTGATGAAGCGCTGTTTTAGATGGTGTATTTGATGGTGATAGGTGCCTGGAGATAGGTGTAAAATTGAGACATTTTTTGGTTGGAGATAAAAATAAAGAGGTTCTTCAAAGGGTACAGCCAGGAACCAGCCATATGAGAAATGAATTCACTGCATAAAGCTTTTCCCTGTCTTGTAAGTCCTCAGAATTTGGCCTCTTATAAGAGAGGTTTCCTCTGAGACCCCAATATTCATCTTTGGAGGTGCTCCATGTGACCCCGTGGGCGGAGGCCACAGTGAGACGGGTGTTCTCAGGGAGGGTTAATAAAACTCAGCTGTGAGGCCAGTCATCCCAGTGACTCTTCTGAGGGACCCCGGAATGACTCATGTGCCATCCTCAGGGGATGGAGACACCACATTCTTGTTTAGGCCCGATCAGTGAGTCCTCAGCGATTCTTGACTTGTTAGGTCTCAGGTGAAATGGGCCTCACTAAAGAGGTGATGTGATCAGGTTTGCATTTTTATAGGAAAAGCCCTCGAAAAGAAGGGAAGGTTGACTGATGTGCTCTACTCTTACCAGTAGCTTGTCCGCATGACCTCCTCAAACCTTTCACACCCCTTCTCCTGGCCTAGGTTAAAACAAGTCACACATTCCTTCCTCCCTTCTATCCTGCTATTAATTGCTGCTAGAAAAAACCACCCTGTGGCTTTGATACCAACTCGTAATTTCCCAATTCAGGAGAACAAGGCTCCAGAAAGCCTTCTGGTCATCACGACGGACTTCCCTTCCAATTCCCTGCAATGGCTACTTCAAATCTGGACTACTCTCAAGCTTTATATTCCAGCCCAACTCCTTGTTCCTGGCAGATGTCTTCACTTCCAATACACCAGAAATAAAGATGTTTCATACACAGACTGCCCCCTTCTCCTTCTCTGTGCCTCTACACTTAGTTACCTCCCCATCTATGCTTTCCTCCTAGCTTCGTGGCTGTCCTCTAACGTTGTCTACTTTTGGTTTTATCTCAAGCCCCGCGTGCCCCCAGACCTTCCCATCAAAGGTAGCAGCTGTCTTCTCTTTGTTAATCTTTTCTCCCATAACGGTGTCTTTTCGGCAGAGAAACATGCGCAGAACTACCCTGCTTTACAACAAATTACCCTTCTTTTAATCTTGCTTCTTCCTCCCTAATCTACTACTCCATCTCTCCTTCCCTTCACCAGAAAACGTTTGAAGAATGGGCTGCACTCATGGCCCCCACCTCCGCACACCTGCTGCCTTCTACAGCTCACTGCGGTCTGCTTCTGTTTCAACAACCCCACTGGCTCTGCTCTGAGGTCATTGGTCACAGTTACTGCAAACCAAGCGGTCTTCTCAGCCCTCCATCTACTGACTTTCACAACATCCAATATTTATAACAAATGTGGTAACACAGCATCTACTGCCAAGAATTACAATGAATTCCTATGTAACACTCGGTACTGTGTGCCAGCCACCATCTCAATCCTCGCCACCACCTTAGAAGACATGTACTTTTATTCCTATTTCATAGGTGAAACACAGGGCGGTTAAAGGACTTGAGTTCAGAAGGCTAGTAAGAGACAGAACCAGGACCCAAACTCAGGCAGTCTGGCTGCACAGTCCCCACTCCTAATTATTGTGCTACATTGGCGTGCTCTGAAACTATTCTTCCTTAAGTGGTGGGATTCACCCCTGACCTCTCTCCTGCCCTTCTGAGGGCTTTCTGTCTTTGTCCCCTTCACTTTCTCCCCATTTCTGGTGCTTTTCTTAATATTGATCTTTAACTTTCCTCTTTTTTGTGTCCATGGTCTTTAATCTGTTTGGGCCTGCTGGAATTTGGGCCCAAATCTGACTGGAAATGAGCTGAAAGCTGATGGATCAACAGGAAACGTGTATGCGGACATGCATTCAGACTTGGCATGTAGCATCAGAGTACTCAAGGTGTTCTGAAGTCACTTAAGGATCCCCAAGGAGGTCATGGGCTTCACTCTGAAAACCTCTGCTCCAGGGTCACTTGGGACTTACCTCCAATCTTTGCCACCACCTAAGGCAACATCAATCATTGCCTTCTTTGACCCCTGCTTATGCTGGTTATCACAAGGATCAGTGTTAAATTTCGTGATTGGACATCTCCATTGGATGACAAGCAACCTGAAGGCAGGGACTCTGTTTCATCTCCCCAGTGCCAGCACAGTGCATCACACATGACAAATAAAGCTTGGTTAACTGAGTGTGCTTACTGAATGGATCCTGTCCTATTTGCTTACCATGGCATGAATGGAGCATTAGAACAAAAATATATCATTACACTGAAGTTTAGAAAATGTAGAAAGTTCCCTAAGACTACAAAAGGAAGCACCACAGAGAGCATGCTGAGTCGCATGCACAGAGAAGATGTAGGGCAGCCAGGGCTGATATAAGCATCAGGCACCCATCCTGAGAGGAGTTGTTCAGAAGAGCCAGGGGACAGCAGAGTCTGTCACCAGCCCCACTCCCTCTTATCCCCTCAGTCCAAGGACAGGTAACCCTTATAGACAGTAAGGGGCAGCTTCCAGATGGATCCTCTGGGAGACAGGTGGGCCTTGCAGTCTGCCTGCTTCCACCTAGAAAGGAGGGGCGCTCCTCTGCCTCAGTGCCTCGCTGAAGTGCCCGGATCCCCATGCCTCAAGCCTGACCTCTGACCAGAAGGTGGGAGACTGTGTCATCAGAAAAGAGCAGTACTCCACACAGCTCTCTGCAAGAGACCCTTTATCCTGGTGACACCACTCACTTGTTCCGCCCTTTTGTCATCCATTCCTCTGCGACCTGGCGTCGCTCTGAGACGCTCAGGGACAGGCCTTCTCCCGTTGTGCCATTCACTGTTCCAAACAGAGAGTCAGTCAGTGGGGCCAACCAATTCCTTTTGCTCCTCCAACAGCAACACTGGAAACGCAGGGTCAGAACTCCCTGCTTACGAGGGAGGGACATGGGGAAAGATCAGAGGATGGAATCTGGGAGGGGGAATGCCATGTTTCCATTTTTATCTAAGACTCTGTCTTTCTTCTATCTTCACCTTGGCCAAAGCAGCGGGAAGGCTAATTTATGACTTGTAATTACAAATCTGTCCTTGCTATCAGAACAGATAGCAAGTATTTGAATGGAGACTGTCCTCATTTTAGGCAAATTTTGGGCAAAACTCCCCAGTTCTATTATTTGGGCTTGATTGGCAGGAAGATGAACACCATCCAGAGCTGGGATGTCATGGGCATCACACATGGGAGTTACTTATGAGGATAGTGGTGCATACTGCGTATCTAAAACGACCTCAGTCTACAGTTTAACATGATGGCAGCACTCTAGGACAATTTTTAAATGGTAATTCATAATTAAACACCAAGGATATTAATATTTCTTGAATAAGCACTCTTACATATTCACTTATTCTCACAGCAACCCTGCAAAGTACAAATGATTTTTCTCATTTACAGATGAAAAAATGAGGCTCTGAATCACTAAGTAATCTAAGTTTGAATCCAGATCTGTATGTTTCCAAAACTTGCCCTGCTAATACAATAATCTCTTAATGGACCACAGAAAGTATGCAAACAGCACTAGGATACATTACAGGAGCCTAAGGCATATGGCAGCACTTCGGATCACCAAACACTGAGCACTCAGGTGGGGTAGAGAAGGGGAGTGAGAGTAGGAAAGAGTGTTTTTCCCACTCCTTTGGGGTCTTAAGAAATTTCAAACATGCTCTACTAGTAGGGATGTTCCGACTTTTTCCCTACACCCAGGGGACATCTGTGGCCTTTCGATGAGTAAGAATCTGTCTTCCTCACCACAGCTTGGAGCTGTAGGGCGGACATCAAGTGGTTCTGTAATCAGGTTCTGGTTTTAATGTGTGGCCTGCACACCTTTTCACAGAAGTTTTAACCTCCTTTGATTCTGACCTTATGCTTCCAGTTTTTAAGGGGCCCCTGTTGGTAGAGCAGTAGCTCAGGAAAAAGACGTAGTGTCCAGTCTATGGAGTCAAGCACCCAGAACACAACACAAGGGGTAACTCAACCAGAGGTAAGCATAGTTCTCAGGCCTGAAATATTCAGGGTCTGACTTTTTAATTTCCACCGTCTCTGAAATGAATGAGGGTAACTGCTGGACCTGTGATTCCCTTGTGTGCTGCATGTCGAGTCTTTCTACATTTACCATATGAAAGGTCTGGTTGAGGTCAGAATAAAGCCCATTCTTAAGACAGAGAAGTCTGGATTTTGCTGTTACTCTACCATTTCTTGGTTCAGTGCGTTAGGCACCCTGAATAATATATCTGAGTCATAGATTTTCCTCCTTAAGTGGGGATAAAAATAATACCTTATCTGTTTTGAAGGTACACCACCAAATTAGATAATCTCTTGAGATGCCTTCCACATCTAAAACTGATGAGTCCACAGATTCACAAATTTTATTTAGCTTAGCCAGTAACCTATGGCACAAGACACTGTGACCTCCTACTAGTAACCAGGTAAGAGCTACTCTCTAAGGATTCGGCTAGAGATGTATAGAGAAATCTCTAAAGATGACTCACCAAAAATATTCTTCACTCCCTGTTCTTCCACAAGATAGTCCACGTACTGACCAATGACTGAAAAGTTGATTTCTCTAAAGGACACAGGAAAAAAAAAAAGAAGAAATGCATATTAAGACTTTTTTAGAATATTATTCAACCAACCCTCAAATCTATAAACTGCTCCCTTTTGTTAATAGTTATTAAAAGTCCACCCGGCCAGTGTGTAAAACTGTTAACCTGCTCTAAATAATGCCTGAGTTTTTCCTTGTTTTTTGAGTGATTTCTCTAGTTGTTCACATATGCTTCACTTACGTGAGCAACACATCACTTATTTATCAGCAAAGGCTTTACATTTAAATATCCCCACAAGTAATATTTAAAAAGTAATTACTTAGTAAGCTTTTGCCCTTTTGGGGAAGAACAAATGGTTGAAGCCGTGGTGAAATGAGAATTTAACATTCCATTTGGTGAGAGGCAATCATCTTTTAGGCTTACAAGATAGGAAAATTCGATCTTAATATTTAAGAATTTTAGCACTTAATATTTGTGACAGCAAATTAAGCTTCAATTGTATTTGCTAGTTTTACATCAAACAGGATTAACATCGGAGAGGAACTTGGCTGTCACTGCCTCTCAAAGCACGGTCTGTGGAAGAGTAGCACAGGCATCTGGGGTCTGTAAGAAATGCAGAGTCCCAGTCCTCACACAGTCCTCCCCAGTCAAAATCCGCATGGGAATAAGATTCCCTTGTGATCTGCATGCATGCACTGGGCAGTCTGAAGAGCAATGACCCTGTAAGGATCTGATGCTTAAGGCAATAAGGGCTCTTTTCCTTAAAAATCATACTGATTTTAAAATCTAGAAACAGATTTACACACATCATATAAAGTGACGTGTTCTCAATCAAAGTGCAGGTGAAGATGATGGGGGCTAGAGAGCGAAAATTCAAAGGAAAACTGTGCTATGGCTAGCAGGTGTTAAATGCCACAGAACCCATGGTTACACAGCCAAGAACAAAAGTGCTAGTTGGCTTCCATTTACATTTTTGTCAATGGGGACCAGAAAATCTCAGTTTAATTTTAACCTTGTTAACATCCTTTTCATCTTTGCTTATTGTATTCCTTACCACATGAAAACAAAACAAAAAAATCTGATGCATAAAGAAAACAAAGACATCAAAGGATATTTATCAAAGATAATAGAAACACTAGAGATAACAGCAAAGAATGCACAGGCAGTCACTATCCACAACATGCAAATGACAACTAATCAGAGCCAGTCAACTGGGAAAGTGTGCTTTAAAGCAGTTCTAAGGCCCCCTGAGGGGAGCAGACTCCCTCCATAATGGCATAATGGCATAATGGCTCACGAGCACAGCCTCAGAACATTGCTGCCCCTGCCTCCCTTGCTCAAATACCAAATCCTGGCCTCTTAGTCTTGCTGAGCAGGGGGGCTCCCTCAATACAGCACAAGAACAAATTTAGGTTGTTCTCACCTAAAGGGAGAATGGGTGAGTTATCTGCCTAGACAATCCATCTCAATACCCTCATTTAGGTCAGCTTGACCTGTTCAACTGGGAATATCTATGTTCCTGCCACTTGGAACCTGCTTCTGGCTGCTTCCATCAGCCCTCCGCCACTTGGGATAAGCTCTGAGATGCAGGAAAATCAGTAGTGGCTTTGTCTGTGCATGGCTAACCCTGATTTTGACCAGTAGTGCTCATCTACCAATGCAAGCAACCAGCAAATAGCTCTGGCAGACCTAGGGAACTTCCAAATCAGACTGGAAGCAGGAAAGAAATCTGGTGGGCAACCGTCCATGTTGGAATCACAGACTCAAACACAGTGGCTCCTGTACACTTTCACTGAGGTCTTGACAGCTCCCCAATCCCATCCCGGCCACGTACTGAAGACCACCTAGAGCAGGCCTGGCTTTGTCACCAAGGAGGAGCCCGTAGAGCTCCAGATTGTCAGGGACTGGTAGGTACTGTACTTTGATGTGCATTCTTTTGGTTTAGTCTAATACTTCTTCATTTGGAAAGGGAGGCTGAAGAGCTTGTTTCCATTTTCAGAAATACTTAAGGAGAGAAACTGATTTAGTCTGTTAGGGTGTGTGTGTGTGTCCCCAGAATGGACTCTAAACTCAGCAGGGACCCACACTGCCAAGTGGGCCTCTAATGGCCAGTCTAGTACACGTGCTCAGCACCCTACCTGGCTCCAATGAAATGCTCAATCATTATTGCTGTTACTACTCCTCATGACAAAACCCAGAAACACCTCACACCCTCAGCGAAGTTCACATCCCTACTTACATATTTACTTTTAAGAGAGACAGAGAGAGAGACAGACAAGAGTACAAACTGGGGAGGGGCAGAGAAACCGGGAGACACAGAGTCTGAAGCAGGCTGCAGGCTCTGAGCTATCAGCACAGAGCCCAATGCAGGCCTCAAACTCTCCAACAGAGAGATCATGACCTGAGGTGAAGTCTGATGCCGAACTGACTGAGCCACCCAAACACCCCAAGAATCATTTTGTAAATTGTTTATGCTCACCCTGCAGGCTAGAGCAAGGACTTCCAGAAGGCAGGCCTGTGCCTTTTATACCTCACAATCCCTAGTCTGTGCCTGGCATAGTGCAGAGACTCAATGATGGTGAAACACCCGTGATCGCTGTCTTAAAAGCAGCTTATCCCCACACCCGCAGGATACATTTAAACCTATAACGTTAACTGAATAAAGGAGAAACTAGTATATAAATAACTAGACCATTGAGAAAACATGATAAAGGCTATGACTGAATCAAAAAGTATATGGGATGGGGCGCCTGGGTGGCTCAGGTCACGATCTCATGGCTTGTGGGTTCGAGCCCGGCGTTGGGCTCTGTGCTGACAGAGCCTGGAGCTCTTCAGCTCAGAGCCTGGAGCCTGCTTCAGATTCTGTGTCTCCTTCTCTCTCTGCTCCTTCCCTGCTCTCACTCTGTCTCTCTCAAAAATAAATAAAACATTAAAAAAAGTTTTTTTAAGTATACAGGGGTTTAGAAGAGGGACTAATTATTCTAATCAGGGAGGCTGGGAACAGAGACTTCGAGGAGGAGGTGGATCTGGAATAAACAGGATGAAATCTTGCACTCCTCCCTCCCTTGGCCCTTCTCTTTCCAGGGAGTTGGCTGCACCCTTTGACAAATGTAGGCCAGTACATGAAGCCCATGATTCCTCTCCTCTTTCAGTGGACTCTATACTATTTTAGGGCTTCAGTGGGTAGTGCTTCCATCTACACTGACCCCCTTCTCACTACTCCTTTAGGCCTTGCTGGATGGGAGCTACAATTATACTAGGGTTAGGGATGCTATGGGTGATACATTTTCTAGCCCCTCAAGAAAGCGGCTTGTTGGGGCGCCTGGGTGGCTCAGTTGGTTAAGGATCCGGCTCTTGGTTTCAGCTTAGGCCATGATCTCATGGTTCCTGAGTTCAAACCCCACATTGGGCTCCAAGATGACTGCACAGAGGTGCTTGGGATTCTCTGCCTCGCTATGCCCCTCCCGTTTGCACATGTGTGCTCTTTCTCTCTGTCTCTCTCTCAAAATAAACTTAAAAAAATGAAAGAAAGAAAGCAGTTTGTTGCTTTTCACAAAATGCTCCTAAAATCCTCTTAGAGAGAGAGAGGTGGAAAAGAGATGGCTCCTAAATGTTTTGACCTTCACAACATTAAACATTTATTTTCTTGTTTAAAAAAATGACTTTGAGGGGGGCCTGGGTGGCTCAGTCAGTTAAGTGACCAACTTTGGCTCAGGTCATAATTTCATGAGGCTTGTGAGTTTCAGCCCCACATGGGGCTCTGTGCTGACAACTCAGAGCCTAGAGCCTGCTTCCGATTCTCTCTCTCTCAAAAAATAAACACTAAAAAAAATGACTTTGAGAAGGCAGAAGATCTAATAAGGCCAGGCCTGCATTTTTTTAAATTCTTTATTTTTGAAAGACAGACAGTGAGACAGAGTACAAGTTGGGGAGAGACAGAGAGACAGGGAGACCCAGAACCCGAAGTGGGATCTAGGCTCTGAGCTGTCAGCACAGAGCCCAACGTGGGGCTCGAACTCATGAACTGTGAGATCATGACCTAAGCTGAGGCAGGGCGGCAACTTCAACTGAGCCACCAAGGAAGCCTCAAACCTACATTCTGAACAGCATTAATGGCTGGGAAGATCAGAGGCTGTCCCCTTTGGAGGCACAGAAGCTCCCCCCCAAAACCAACTCAGGGATTTCAGATCTCTGCAGCCCTTGGCTCAGTGGCTCCAGTCACAAGTGAACCCAGTGAAATACCCAGAGCTGTTACCATATTTGTCACAAAAGCATCCCAACAGCAGGGCTAAGGTGGGAACAGGATGATAATCCTCTCTGGCAACTTTACTCCCTTCTCTGGTTTCCCACCCTACTCTCTCTCTGTGTGAAGTGTGGGTTTATGTAAATTGCTGTAGGCACTGTCTCAGCTAGGAGGAAGTCACCAGCACTATTGGAAACAGTAAGACTGGATGATTCTTATCCCCACTGGATGGCCATTTGGGGCCTGTTGCTCAAGAAAGTGAGAAGTGGCACAAGCCAGTTCACTTCCAAAGGCTGGCTTTCCATTGCGTGTGTCTTCCTTCACGAGCCCCAAGAACACATCTCACTGCTGGCCACCTCAGGGTTGTATGATCCAGAACCAAACGCCAGCCTTGTTGAAGTCACTCCCCGATTTAACTCCAATTTAATACCTTAATTTCAATTCCCAGGGGTTCAGATTCTTTGCCTTGGGCCCATGAGTTTCTTTTCATAAAAGTGCTTAACTTTCTTCATACTGTAGAAGCTCTGTCATTTATATTTGAAAGTACACACCATAAAAAAGGGGAGAAGAACCTACGCAGGATCTCTTTGGATGTTATCACTCTTATTAGTTTGATACTTTTCTATTTGCAAATACATAATAAAGCATTTTCTCAAATAAATATGGTCATATTTATTGGTACTATAAATATGTACCAAAATGGTACTATATATAGTACCAAATATGGTGCTATATTTTCACTTAGCATGCCAAATCGAATATTTCCCCACATCTTTAGATATTCTGTTACTAGACTGGCTATGCAGCATTTCATTGTATGAATGAACAGATTAATTTAGCTAATCCTCTAGCCTTGGACATTTAGTGCACCTGTAGACTATGTAAGAGGACAGAATATTTATCCGATTGTTTTTGCCACCAGTCACGGCCCTGAGTGGGTGCAGTTTGAAACCGTATGTAGACTGTATCTCTTCTCTTAGGGGAGAAGGATAACAGAATTCATTTGAAGTGGCTTTTCAGAGAAAAATCTCTATTGCTGTTTATTTCCTCTCCTGGTGTATGACACTAAGTGAAAGGTTCCCTTTATTTGAGAATACAGAATCAAAGGGGCAGGTCATGAGCATGCCTGTCAGAATATCTGATATTCTTTTTTTTTTTTGGCCTTTTACATATAACTCTCAGTATTCAAAACCAGATGAAAGTTATGTGTGCTTTTGGCAAAATAACTACTTGGCTACTTCAAAACTCCTTCAGCAGGGAAGTATTCAGGGACCATAATTGTCCTGCCTTGCCAGAAAACATTCTGTTCTGAGAATTTGGGTCATGTAGTCTCTCAACACAGTTAAGAAAACAATACTCTACACAATTCCAACTCCAGCGGTCCAGGCCCTTTCGGACTGGGGTAACAGGTCTGTTTTTACCAGAGGGTGATGTGAGGATTCCTGTGATGAAGCTAAAGGCATTCTGGGGAGGAAATAGTCTTTTTCTTGGCATTTTGGCCAATCTGAAATGGACTTTCTGTTCTAAACATTGTACTGGCCCAAGGGAAGGAGTGACTTCTCGAAACAACTAAGGAAAACGAACGTCTTCTACTCTTGTGTAGAAAAAGATGAGAACTGAGGTGGGTAGAGAAAGACCTTTCTCTCCAGTGACATGGCTAGGGGCAGTGTGTTAACCTTTAGGATCTTGGTCTCATCAACTGTACAAACAAGATTGTAGTTCTCTCCCAGATTAAATTGGAACATGTACAGGGCACTGGGTAGTTCAGTTGGTTGGCTGAGCGTCTGACTCAATTTCAGCTCAGGTCATGATTGAGCCCTGCATTGGGCTCTTTCCTAAGCATGAAGCCTCCTTGGGATTCTCTCTCTCTCTCTCTCTCTCTCTCTCTTTCTGCCCCTCCCCTGATCATGCTATCTCTCTCTTCCCCAGAATAAACATTAAAAAAAATTGGAACATGTACATTAAGATGCCCGACATGATGACTGACACCTAGTATTTAGCTCATCAGTGTTAGCTTCTTTTCCTAGTGAAATAACAAAATGTACCATTCACTGTGCTACAGGCTGAAGACAGAATGATGAATAAAAAACACGCTCAGTCTTTGCGGATTGCCTGGTACTCAATAAATATCCATGGAATAAGGTGAAGCAGCTATAAGCCTGGAGGGAGAGACAGGTAAATGAGTACCTTAAAAGGCATGCACAGGCTGATGTAATGTGTAAAGATGTACACAGGCTGATGTGGAATCCCAGGGGAAGGACTCTATCATTCTTTTTACGGAAAATGGGGAAGAAGCACCAGAGGATGGTTTTGATGGATGAGTAGAAGTGCTCACGTGGAGTAGAGGGAGGGGAGGATGGTGGTAGAAAAAGGCAGAGGAAACAGAATGAGTAAAGGCACTGAGGGAAAAAACTATGAGGTGTTTGGGGGACCAGAAATGTAGCAAGAGAGGTATCCAAGAGAGTCTGAGCTTGAACTTGTATCAGTTCATCTCGGACTTTAATGTGCTAAAGAATCATCCAGGGATAGTTAAAATGCCTGTCCTGATTCAGTTGGTATGTAGTAGGGCCTGAGATTCTGCATTCCTAGCAAGTTCCCATGTGATGTAGAGCAAATAGTCTGTGGATAAGCAGTAAGGCTTAAACAAAAGGGAGTCAGCAGAGATTCTTAAAGAGGACGTAATCAGATTTATTTATGAGGAAGCTCACTGTGCTACAGTGTGCAGGCTGGACTGGGGTTACAGGTGCTTTTACACATTCTTACGGGACCACTGCAGTATCCCTCATGACATAACACCAGAGAAGACTCTTTGAATTTTAAGGGGCTTTGGAGAGGATATAGCTGAACTCCCTCTCTTTACAGAATATGAAAGAGAACTTTTAACATGTGACAAGACCTCCTTGGGGTCAGACAGCTAGTTGGTGGTAAAGCTGGGGGGGTCAAGAACCCAGACATTTTAACTAAAACCCACCTAACCATGTTCTGTCTGAGAACTTCCCCATTCCATAACTTTAACTTACATTCAGCATTGAATCAGAGTATTTCTCAGACTTATGAAGAAAAAAGGATGCAGGGAAGAGTTCTTTTTCAACCACTCTCACTCATGGAGGCTGTGGCTTACTTTATGAGCCAGGTTAGGGAAACACCCATGATGTCAGGTCACCAGGCAGAATTTCCAGGTATTTGATTCCACATGACCCTTTTTTTTTTATCTCCTGGAAACATGTCAGAAGTTCACATTCCCCTGTAGGCAAGTAGGCAAACGCCCACCTGTCCTCGGTGGGTGCTCCAATCTTGCCTTATACCTACAGGAAAGCTTGGATGGGGCAGGCAGAAGAAGACAGTGGAACTAATATAACTTATATGCTTACTATGTGCTATGACCTGACATACATTTTAATTTTTTTTTAAGTTTATCTATTTATTTTGAGGGAGAGAGTGAGAGTGAGCACAAGCAGGGGGAGGGGCAGAAAGAGAGGGAGAGACAGAATCCCAAGCAGGCTCCGAGCTATCAGCCCAGAGCCCCACATGAGGCTCGAACTCACGAACCCTGAGGTCATTACCTGAGCCAAAATCAAGAGTCGGAACTTAACCAACTAAGCCACCCATGCTCTCCTTAATTTAACTTAATTCTTAAAAATTTTTTTTCTTTTTAGTTTATTTTTTTGAGAGGGAGAGCATGCACATGTAAGCGAGCAGGGAAGGGCAGAGGGAGAGAAAGAATCCCAAGTAGGCTCTACACTGTCAGAACAAAGCCTGATGTAGGGCTCAATTTCACAAACTGTGAGTTTACAACCTGGGCTGAAACCAAGAGCTGGACACCTAACTGAATGAGCCACCCAGGCACCCCCAATTTCACACATCAGGAAAGTGAAGGTTCTAGAAAGGAAAAGAATTGAAGAAGAGGAAGAAATAGAGAAATGGAGACAGCAGGGCCAGAGATACTGGGGAGTAGAGAAGGATCCAGAAAAGCAGAGTCCTTTATCTCTAATACATGGGGCTTGGTGTCCTGGGAAAACAGTGGAATGGGGAGGAAGAACACATTGACACTCTCAGTGAGTCCCAAATGAACAAATGAGACTGTTCAAGAGGTCCCTTCTAGGCTGAGGGGTCTGATGAAAAAGGTTAAAGCAGCATCAACCAGTAGTCGTGTTCTGAGCTTGCAAACAGGATCCTAGTCAATAACAGGAAGTGAATCCTGCCTGCTCATGCAGTCACATGATTTATCTGTTTTATGGGGCCAACAGTGGCTAACACACAAAGAGCTGACTTCAGTCTTTCTTCGAACTTGTGGAAATGGAGAAGCAACAGAAAAAAACTGCTATGAATCACTGAGTAATCTAAATGCCATCTCAGCAAGAATTCGATTTAGACCTAGTTAAAGACATGATTTTTCAGGAAACTGAGAAGATGGAGGTTTTGAACTCCAATGATCTGAGGGAAAACTGTGATATGGCCAGCTCTGAATGAGAATACAAAGTCCTAAGAAATTTCACCTTTTTTAAAGGGGAAGGGTTAAGGTTTACAAATTCAGCAACATAAGACCAAAAAAATAAAATGCCGTGCATAAAGATATCTTAAATGCCCCATCATCTTTTCATCCCCATCTGATGCCACAACAGTGGTTCAAACAAACTTACTGACCTAAGTGCATAGTGACCCTGTGCTGAGCACCATCATATGGATGACCTCACTTGAACACCTGTAAGTCCACCATGCAGGTGAATTACCATTGCATTTTATAGAGAAAGAAAGGAGAAGCTTTAAGAATCCAGAATTTTGACTGTTTTTGGCAGACTGACCCCTCTAACAGGTCAAAAGCATTTAGATCCAGGTGGATAAATCCCTTTTTGGTTAATGCCAACGTCTGGGGAGGAGTTACACGTTGCATGTGGACACCTACGGCACGTGACCGTTATCTGCTAGGACCGAGCAAAGGGCCTGCCATAACATTCATCTAGGAGCTAAAATACTTGTTTGGGTAAGGAGTAAGGAGTTCTCAGCAATCATCTGTTGTTACCTCGAATTCCTGCAGGCTGCCAACATTTAACCAATGCTGAAATGTGATTACAAACATACTAAGGGGTCCACCTTGCAGCTAACTTCCCCACTTTCCTCAAGGGAGGGCATTTTAATCACATCTACGAATAGCCTGGGGTGGAATCATGCAGCTTTCCAGGGACAGGATCTAGAGGGGCCAGGTCAGTGCTAATAGCAAATCCTGCTAAAATGAGATTCTCCTCATCCAGTTCCACTGGCCTTATTTGGGAAAGCCAGGGCTCTGATGAAATTCAAAGAGAATTTACTATTCTGGAGCTACAGATGCTGGGAGAAAGGCAAGATGCCACATTGTACCTTCTCTCTTCCTGTTCAGTCTGTGACACAGAGACCTCTTCTCTGACTTGGGGTCAAGGAGACTTAAATGAGGGGGATGACTGACAGAAGCTTTAATTTTGGCTTAGCTCAGTACCTGAAATTGCACAGTCTAAGTGACTGCTAGTGTAGAGGATTTCTGTCCATGTTGCTGGAATGAGAACAGATCCCCTTAGGTCCCAAGTGATAGTTACCCATGCTCCGTCATTGGCGTGATGGTTGCAGCAACAAGACCTTGAAGTTTCTTCTTCCGGGAGGCCATTGAGCTGCTGAAAAATGTCTGCAAAACATACAATATAATTCCTCTCCTTCTTCAAGGAATGCCAATTAATGATCAAACTCCCGGGCAAAGTCCATTCCCAGTTTAAAATTGTGAAAAATGCTTACAAGTACACAAACACACAGAGCAAATGAAGAGAATGTAAAATGTAGAGCTTAATTTTGCAGACAAGGAGATTATTTTTAAAGACAGGAGCGGGGTGGGGGGGTGACAAGTGTTCCAGGAAAATACTATCAGAAAGGCCTCCCACTTTGTCTATACAGGTGATTCAGGCAGCCTGCAACCTCACAGAGAGGGGGTACATGACAGCAGGCCCAAGAAAGAACATCAATTTAACTCAAGGAGATCATCTATCTATCTATTTATCTATCTATCTATCTATCTATCTATCTATCTTTCTTTCTCCTGACCATACTTCAATTTAAGTAATAGTAATTTTATACATATATAACATAAAACATATGTATAAAATTATATATATTATCCTATATATTATATAATGTATTATATTATATATTTTTATGTATATGTATATATGTTGTATATGTATTGTGTGATATATGTAACATATGTATACATTTTTGTATGTGCATTACATATAAAATATATGTAACATGTATTATATATTATACAGTACATAATATATACAACCCATATGTTATGTGTTTATATAATATATGACACTTATACCAATTTATATATGCCCAATTATATAATATATAATTATATAATTATATAATTACAATTATATACCATATAATATATAATACATAGTTATAATATATGTGATGTATATATATACCAATTATATAATACATATTATATAATATATATAATATAAATAATATATTATATATACATAAATACTATTACTTAAATTGACATATGGCCAGGAGAAAAGAGACATTCTTTTGTTTTTCCATATCTTCATTCTTTTAAGGAGAAGCTCACCTAAAACCAGCACTTACAGTCTTAAGGCTTCTGTGTGATCTACTTAACGATCTTCAGATTTACCTATGTTTGAAAATTCTAATTTTGACTAGTTTTGCCCTGTTTTCCTAGCTCTAGTAGACCATGTACACTGTATCATAATTGTTTATTCATCTCTCCCCCACTAGACCAAGCTCCCTAGGACAGGGAATACATTTCATTTGCCTTTGCTTTTCCTGCACTGAGTTACCTGGTAAGACATCTTGTGTTCAATTAAAAAGTGATGAATATGTAGGTAATTGAATGAGGTGTTCAAATTGTAACTGGATAATGACTTCCACAGACAGGGTGATCATGGCTGAGAAAATCAACCTGACCCCACTTATGTGGGGCAAAAGGATCCCTCCCCATCTGGCAGAGAATACACCTGTCTGCACCAGTGTAAAAAAGCCAAGAGTCTGTCGAAAACAGCCAATGAGAGGCAAGAGAGTATTGTGGTTAATAGCTTGGATTCCACAGGCTGACTGCCTGGCTCAACTCTCAGCTTTTCCACTTACCTAGTTACAGAACTGTTATTATTTTTTGAACTGTAAAACACAAAAATGCAAAGCCATGAATGCAAAGTCTTAAAAATTGAAGAAGAAAATAAAATATAACCAAATAGTATTTGGTGACAATTAGACAAAACATGGTTGGCTTAGAGCAAACACAGTGATGTCTCTAGGTAATGGACAAGTTGGGGTATATTACAGGTCTGAGGTCACTGGCACATTAAAAAGCCCAGTGTCTACTATACTTAAAGTTGACCCATACAACGTAACAATTATCAACTGTTTCATTTTGTTTGCTCTTTATAACTGTTAACCTCATTTCCCCAAATAGGAGCATAAAGTTTACAGATTACAAAGATCATATCTTTTCCTTTTTCTGTCTCCCCCAAGAGTTCTGGCTCAGGTGAGCCCTTCAAGCCAGAAACAGGACAAAACAAAGACAAAGACATGAAAGGGCACACTGTGGCAAAATTTACTGCTTTTATAGGAAGCCAACGTGATCCCTCCCCTTACAGATACGTCCCTAGCAAGACTTGCTCCTGAAATTAAGCCCAAATCTTTCAGGTAGTTTCATTCTGTATTGAAGGGCAATAAAGGGGAACCTTACATGATATACGGGATACTAGGATTTTTCTGCCTTGTCCTAGTTTGAAGATGAGACCAAAATCCTGTTGGGCATTTTGAGACAAATGTAATCACCTGGCCCATGGGGAAAACACAAGGCCAATAACATAGGCCCATCTATCCCAGAGGAATGTCTGTGCATGAAAGGAGATGGACGCTATGCCTGCTGCGTATCTCCACCGGGCACTCCTGCAAGCATTGAACTCAGGACACCTCAGACTGAACCTGCCACCTGTCCCCTATGATTGCTTCCTTTAGTCCTTACAGTGGAGGAGGTGGAGCATCAGTTCTGGAGTCAGACATCATGGGTCTGCATCCTGGCTCCACCAGTTCCCAGTGGGGTGAGCCTGGAAGTGTTATTTACCTTCTCTGTGCTTCAGTGTTCACTCCTGTTAATAACAGTAGTCATATTTCATAGGTTGTTGAGAATTAAATGAATTCTTGTAGAGTGATTAACAACGGCGCCCAGCACATAGCAAGTGCAGTATGAAGTCGCACCAGATGGCTACAGGACATTAGCAAGTATTCTTGCCTCTTATCTTCCTTCCCTGCCCCCTTACTGCCTCTCTCATAACTTACCCTTTATTACCTCTTATCTAGACCAACAGGCACAACCCCAGGTCTAAGAGGATCAAAGGGACTCAAGAAGGCTCAAATGATAACAGTCTCAAGCTAGGGTCAGCACCAAAAGTCTAATTCAAACAGTGCTAGGCTGTTCACACTAGACTTCTGTATTCTGAGCTTTTAGTTACATTTATTTCACACTTAGGGCAGTTACAGATACTCTTAGGATCATCAGAAGCTTGGATGGGTAGTTTTATATATGGCTTTGATTGAAAGAAACAAAACTGAGTGCATGTAAATGCAATTTGGTTACAAAATCTCAAAAACATAGAACCTGTAGGGATGTGGGGTCAGAGTCAGGAATTCCTACCTTAATCCCCACTCTCCTCCTCCAATCCACATAGGCTTCCAGGTTAATCTCCTGGAAGCACAGACATTTCTAAGCCTGCCTTGGCCCAGCTCAGAAAATGCTAATGACTTCCCCTGGCTTCAGGAGGAGAAATGCCAAACGTCCGGGTCCAGGGCTCTGTATAAATCTCTTCATGCCTGAAGGGCACTAGCTCAAGTGTTCCCTGTTGCTCCTACCCACCTTCTCCCATCTGGCCTGCTTCCTTAGGTTCTCCCATCTGGAATGACTATCTCCCACTTCAGCCCCTTGAGTCTAGACAACTTTTAAAACTCACTGTACAAGTTAAAGAACATTCCCTGATCTCCCAAGAGGAAGACAATTTCTTACTCCTCAAAATTCCCTCAAACACTTGCTTTTCCTTAAAAATGTTACATGTTATTAGCAGGGTGGTTTTGGCTCCTCTTCCACAGCATCAGCCACCAGGGAGCAGGAACAGCTTCAAAAAAATCTGTCTCTGCACGGAGCAGTACACGAAAAGACCAAAATTTGCTGACTTTGTGAATGCTGAATTTCCAGGAAGAGATGGGGGCAAAAGATCACAAAAACTGTAATAGGTAACGATTGATATTTTGTACATTCAAATTTTAAATAAACTTGTTAACGTCAAGCTTTGGCATTCTTTGTAGCTTGTATCAAAAGCAAGTGGTTAGAATGTTCTCCACCCTAGGGCTCAATGCGAATTTAGAATGTTAATAGAGATGCTGGGGAGAGGGTATTACTCTTGAAATCTTGTATCTCTATCCACCAACACTTAGTACAAAGAATTCAAGTCAAATCCTCGGAAAAGGGCAAAGTTAAAACAAAAAATCTCTGGGCGAGACGGAGGATGCAACTCTGGGCATGGTGATGACTCGAGAAATACGCGCAAAAGAAGAAAAGAAATGGAGAAACGAAAGAAACAAAACCAAAACGCAGAAACATAACCGAGTTCCCATAAAATGAAGGCATTGGGTCAAATGCAATGATAAAGTCTGTTCCACTCCACAGCTGACTCAGCTCACTGAAGGGTCCTTGGAGAAGGCTATGCAGTCCGGAAAGAATCCAGGGGAGTGGTCCCTCTGTGCAGACCCCTGCCCCAGGACTGGAGCGTGTCGCTTTCGCACTTCCTCTAGCCCCACGTCCCAGCTTTTCTGCCTTCCCCTCTCCTCCGGGCCGTCACCGTCCCCCCTCCCCTCTGCCCTCCTGCCCCCATCCCCGGGTGGGCTGCAGGTTTCCCTCCGCCCGTCCGCCCCGCGCGAACCGCGCTCACCGGATAAGCCCGGGTCCGCCTCGGTCGCGTGTGGGCCGCCGCCGCCGCTGCTGCCGCTGGCCGCAGTGCCGCGCGCCGCCGCGGCCTTTCTCTCCTCCGCTGCCGCGCGGCCCCGCACCACGTGCCTACGCGCCCGCGCAGAGCCGCGCGCCCCGCACGCCCCAGACGCTGAGCACACGTGCAGTTTAGCCTCCCTCCGCGTTACCTGGGGGTGTGGGCGAGGCGCCGGGACTGCGAGCTTCCGAGCTTGCGCCTCCGGAGCCGCGGCGCGTGCTTACGCGCGCCCAGATTCCGCGGGGCAAACTCTCCCTTCCCCTTCTGCTGCGCGGGTCGTACCGCTTGCGGATGCCTACTGGGCTCCTGTTCGCTTTAACTTCTGTCCAGGGCTCGGCAGCAACAGGTACTTCGTGGTTGTGGGCTTTGAAATTTGGGCTGCCGGTTCCGAAGCGTGCTGAGAACCCTGCCTGCCAGTCGGGGATCCAGTCTGTGCTTTTCAGGCTAGTGCTGCTGCCCCAACCCCGCGTGCCCTCATGTTCAAAGGTGATGAACGGATATTAAAATTGGATTCGTTTCTAAAGCGGTAGCTTTCCTGGGTATTCTGGAGAACAACTGAAAGAGTTTTGAACGGGATAATTATTTTTAAACAGAATATCTC